CGGTCATGGTAGCAGACAACAATGTTACTAGTTCCTGTATTTTGCTATAGGCTGTACTTTTCATCATTATTTTAGTGCCCTGCTATTTATAAAAAGGCTCCGTGATGTAAAACAACCAGGCTGTGTGACCCTGGCAGCAGCCTCCTACATCTAATGTTTACCAAGTCTCTTGATTGGCTCAACACACTTTGTTGAGTGATTGACCTGAACAAGAGTGTATGCTAAGAGCTAGGATGAGCACAACAAAACAGCCTAATGATGCATTTCTTGGAGTACACATCCCCGTGCTTGAGGGGCGTGCAACAGTATTGGAGAGGAGGAAGCCTGATCCCCGACCCCCGCTTCCCAACTCTTTTAACAGGTGAGGTGAAAATCTATTCCTTTTTTTATTTATAAAATGTAGGTCAGATGAGTTGTCCCCACCCCCACCCCTTTAACCTCCAGTGAATCCGTCACGGAAGAGAAATGGCCGCAGGCTTAACAGCATAAAAGCATTATTCTGAACCAACTACATCTCAACACTAGAACTTTAAAATTAAATACTTCGGTGTAGCCAAGATATGAGAAAACACATCTAGAGGTTATGAGAATTGCCCAAGATGAAGCTGGTGTTTCATCTTCATGGTTAACATCACCAACCTTTCTGTGGAACCCCAAACAAGGTCCCTGAGAAGCTCCTACTGTGTTCCTGAATATACTGCTTCCCACGGGGGCGGTTTTTCCCTCCTGAGTGCTTTTCTGGTGCTGTTGCTGAACCAGTGTCTACATCTCTCAAGAAAACTTCTCCTGAGATCATTATAAATAAACCGGTTTCCTGAAAGCTTAAAACAGAACTGAAAGATTCTACAGAATGTTTCTTCCAACAGGACCCTCAACTTCATCAAGTAAACTTCAGAAGTTTTTAGAAATCTAAAAATATCTATTAGTTGTTGGTTTTGATTCCTGTCCTGGGGCCTTGATAACTCACTGACATAGAGCACACTCATCTCCTATCTAACAAAATTCACCATCTATTTTCAGTTACTATAACAAAATACAGGAGGCAAGGTATTTTGTACTTTTTTGGTTTGGGTTTTCTTTTGTTTTTTTGAGACAGGGTTTCTCTGTGTAGCCTTGGCTATCCTGGAACTCACTCTGCAGACCAATCAGACCTTGAACTTTAAGAGATCGTCTGCCTCTACCTCCCAAGTGTTGGGATTAAAGGCGTGTGCCACCATGCCCAGCTAGGCACTTTGTTTCTTTAAAATGGTTCGTTTGGTTAGATTGGGAGGCTGAAAGTCCATGTTCAGGAAGTCCCACAGTTTAGCTTCTGGTGAGGACCTCAATGTGGATGACTCCATGGTAAGGGTCAAGATTAATGAGGAGGGAGGAAGAAAGGGAAAGCATAGTTGGACAGAATGCCAAAAGAATTCAAGGGTCAGGCTCACTCTTTTTTTTTTTTTTGGTTTTTCGAGACAGGGTTTCTCTGTGTAGCTTTGCACCTTTCCTGGGACTCACTTGGTAGCCCAGGCTGGCCTCGAACTCACAGAGATCCACCTGGCTCTGCCTCCCGAGTGCTGGGATTAAAGGCGTGCGCCACCACCGCCCGGCCAGGCTCACTCTTACAATAACAACTTGCTCTCAGAGAATTAATGCAGGGAGACACCATTAATCCACAACACCCAGCCACTCACCTTCCTGCAAACTAACTCTCTCTCTCTCTCTCTCTCTCTCTCTGTCTCTCTCTCTCTCCCCTTTTTGGTTTTTCAAGACAAGAGTTTCTGTGTAGCCCTGGCTGTCCTGGAATTACCCCTGCACACCAGGCTGACCCTGAACTCAGAGATTCGCCTGCCTCTGGCTCCCATCTCTTAAAAGATACCAGTAGAAGCTGGGCGGTGGTGGTGCACGCCTTTAATCCCAGCACTCGGGAGGCAGAGGCAGGTGGATCTCTGAGTTCGAGGCCAGCCTGGTCTACAAAGCGAGTTCCAGGAAAGGCGCAAAGCTATGCAGAGAAACCCTGTCTCGAAAAACCAAAAAAAAAAAGATACCAGTAGAATACTGCCACACTGAGGGCCACTTCCCAAACACAAACCTTTGGAGGATAAACCATATCCACACTATACAATGAACCTTTAAGCAGGGGTTCATGGGATGTGTCTAGTAATTCCTTTTATGGAATTTTAAATAGGTCCAGCCCATTCTACTCTCCATAAGATATGACGATGACTTAAAGATAAAAGTGATCTATGAGGGATGTCTAGTTTGTTCAGAACTCTGTAAACTACCAGACCTGATGTTTTTAAACCCACATTGTATCTAGTGATTATATGAATCTTATATGAGTACATCCTCACATAAGGGTGCTCCACTGATTTTCCAACTAATATCAATTCTACCAAAGGAAGGACCTTTCACCAATTTAAAATTTTGCTTTGCCTAGGATCTGTAGTGAGAACTAGGTAAACCTTAATGATGTTATTCTTAGTCAAGAAAATCGTAAGCTGTTCTCTAGTACATGCATAACCCCAGAAACTAGCTTATCGTTGCTGATCAAGAGAAGAAAAAGAAATACCACAGTCCTATTTTCAGCACTAGTCCCTAACAAAGACTTGCTTAGTTTAATTAAATAGCCATCCCAATAAAGCAATTCCTCCCTCCCTCTCTCCCTCCCTTGGTAGCAAGACACCTCTGTGTTTTTGCCGACACTGAGATTACACTCTCCTGTATATAATACAACCCATTGATACCACTTATCTTTATTGTCCTTACATTATCTAATCTCACAGTTCCTTCATAGAAGAGCAACTATAGCCAACATAACATAGGGCATGTAACTAGAAATCAAGTTGTACTGAGACAGGGTTTCCCCCTGGAGCTCTGGCTGGCCTGGAACTTGCTCTGTGGCCTCAAACTCAAGAGATCTGTTTGCCTCTCCAGTGCTGGGGGATTAGTGGCGTGTGCTGCCACATTGGGCATGCTCAGTTTTGAAAAAGCTGCCTTTTCCTCAGCTGCACATTTAAAGAGCTACGAACACAAATGAAAAATGAAGGCTGAGGGAAGCTTTCTGAGTAACGGACCAAAACGGTGCCAACAGATAGGAAAAAGATGGCGTCACTTTCATCCACTGGCTAACATTCTCTAGGTCCATTCCCACTGCTCCTAATGGTGTTCAAAATATCATCTAACAGTGTTAGAGATGACTGCTCCTCAGAATCACACAACCAGACTTCAATTTCTCTTTGAAAAAAAAAAAATTATTTTAGTACTAAAGACTGAACCTAGGCAAGTGTTCTACCATTGAGCACATTGCCAGCTCTCAGCAATTTTTTTAAGATTATAATATAATCATATCAGTTCCCCTTTCCCTTCTACCCCCCAAATCCTCCCACATACCCCTTCTTTTTCATTAATTGTTGTTACATGGGTGTGTGTGTATTTCTTTTTTGTTTTGTTTTTTTGAGACAGTGTTTCTCTGTGTAGCTTTGGAGCCTTCCCTAGAACTAGGTCTGAAGCCCAGGCTGGCCTTGAACTCACAGAGATCTGCCTACCTCTGCCTCTTGAGTGATGGGATTAAAGGCATGTACCACCACCACCCAGCTGTGTGTGTATTTCTAAATACTCAAATTGAACATGCTCAGTTTGTGCATTTTTAAAATGAGAACTCTATTACAAGGTAAATTCGTAATTATTCAAGACAGCTACTCAAAGTAAAAAAAAAAATTGTGTTGATTCATTCTACATGCTTTTTTTGTTTGTTTTGAGACAGGGTTTCTCTGTGTAGCCCTGGCTGTCCTGGAACCTGCTCTGTAGACCAGGCTGGCCTTAAACTCACAGAGATCTGCCTGCCTCTGCCTCCCCAGTGCTGGGATTTAAAGGTGTGTCCCACCACCACCACCGGCTCCCAGATGCTTTTTAGTAAACAAGGAGTACACAGAATTCGAAACTCAAAACAATGATTTGGGGCTGAGGAAAAAGCAAAAAGAATACTTCTAAGTTAAGTTTGGCAAGGGAAAGGTAATCATTAGGAATGCATTTATACATGTGGCACCCACATTGCTGATATTATTGCCCAGGTCTGTTCTAGAAGTTGTTGCTACTGCATTTATTGTCTTGTGAAACGTTGTGATACTTTGGGGAAACATGCAAATCCTAGTTTGTATAATTTCCTTCTACGGATTTATACTAACTGCCAGTTAAGTCAGGTGGTAAGAAAATGAAAGATTATGGAAGCAAAGGTTTTTTTGTTTTGTTTACCTCGAAGGCATATCCCAATTTTTCCAAGTCAATATGTATCTTGACATCAAGCACTACTCCTCTCCCCCTTTAAAGAAGGGAGTTCGCTATTGGCTCTTACTATTTTCATTTATTATATTAAGGCTTTACCAATCAATCTTCGCCCTATGATTTGAGTTAACATACATGAAATCTACTGCTACTGTGACTCGTTTGGAATATGCAGTAGTCCTATTTCCCTGGATCTGAACTCTGGATTCCTCAAATTCCCATAGCTGTAACTACTTTCAAACTCATAAACCCCAAACCTGTAACTGCTTTCAGGCTGACAATCTGCTCAATAGCTCTGCCCTTGCAAACAAAGATTCTGCAAGCTGGAGGCCACGCGCAAAAAACTAAAATTGTTGGAGGACCTTCACCAGCCACCACCTTACAGAAGCTTATCTCAAGAACAGTTCTAGGTTCAAGGAGATCTGAAGGATTCCTTCCCAACCCGGCTAGTGTAAGCAAACTTGAGCCTAACAAACCCGCAGGAGAGGTGCACATTCTTGGAGTTAACCAGTAAAGAGCGTTTAATTTAGGGAGGAACGCGACAGGCTAGGTTAATGTCTATGAGGCAAAGTGTACCCCACCCCCACTGGGTCAATGCCCTGAGCAGGTACTGGTCCTGATTCGCGAGATCCAGCCTCCTAGTCCTGCGGTGTCCATAGCTCCTGAGCTGAGAAGCGGCTCACGGAGCTGTGCAAAAGACTGGCCACTCCACCCCCACCCCTCATCCTGTCGCTCACCGATGCTGCAGCCCCACGAGTCCCAGAGTGATCACATGCGGCACATCTAGCTGCGTGGGCCACTCTCCAGAAGCGATGCATCCGAACACGCCACATTCCTCACGGATCCCCAACTCCTCCAGTTCCATGGCGCCGCCGAAAGCACGTGGAGGGACCTGCTGCCGCGGCGTGGTCCGAGCGCCAACCAGCTGTCCGCTCCTCTCTCGCAGGCTTCAGAACCTCTCACTACTGCCTCCTCCTTCCCCGCGGGCTAGGTTCTCGCTACTGCGGCGGCGCGCGTTTCCCTCCGGGGGGGCGTGGCCAGTTCGGCCTCCAGCGCCCCGCCAATCAGCTACCGCACGGGACGGGGGCGGAGCTATGGAGTCAAGGGGGTGGGGTCAGTTCTCCGCGGGAGAGGTCAGGAGCGCTCGTCTTCCTGCACGTGGAAGTCTCCGTTATCTTCCCGCTCCGAGACGTAGGTGATGAGAGGAGTTCATTTAGTGGTGTTTATCCCTCAGAACATGTGAGCTGTGCGTGCCCCTGGTCGCACGCCTTCCCCCGGCCGTCGGGACTTGGTTTGCTCCGACCCAGAATCCACTCCCGGCCGGCGGGGGCTGCAGCTTGCGCGCCACTTTCCGCTGCTGGGAACTACGGCGCAGGGGCGCCCGGAAGCGGGGTCGCGTCAGCGCGCCTGCGCGGCGGGAAGCCCGGAGAGGCGATCCCAGCCCGGGGCACGGCCAGCCCAGGACTTGGCGGTCACCTTAGGGCAGCACGGACGGACCTGTGCTAGCGGCTCTGTCTGGGGGCGTGTCTGTGCGTTGCACCGCCCTTCCTCGCTCCCCTAAGCCTCTGCTCGGTCTTGTTTTCAGAGCGCTGCTTCTCTTTCCCGCGCGGGCTACACTTCCATCCCACCTCGGATAATGGCGACAGCTGAGGGTGAGTAGCCGGCTTTTGGACCCGCTAGAGTCGCCCTATCCCCCAGCAGGAAGTTAGCATGCTTGGCGCGGACACGTGCAGCCCCGGGGTCAGATTGCAGCCTTCCTGCTACAGTGTCCTGCTCGCTACCCCACGATGGCGCCTGGGTCCTGGACCCTGCACACGTGGTCCAAGCGCTGGGAGACGTGCATTGGACCCTAAGCACCCCGGGCCTCCGGAAATACCCAGAAATAGCCCCGGGACTGGAGGAAAGTAGCAGAGTGGGAAGGTACTCCGGAGGAGAAATGGCCAGATTATAACGAAGTGCCTAGAAACTGTGATAGGTAAACAATCAGGAAAATCTAGCAGAATTTTTCAACCCGTCTTGTTTATTCTGGTAAGATTAATACACCAATAATCTCCTTTGCCGTAAGGTTAATAGTTTAATAATATGACTGTAAGTCCAGACTTTTTGTTTTGATCAAGTGCTAGCTAGATTTGTGGTCCAGGCTTGCCTAGAATTTCGGGTTACGGGTGTGGGCGAGTACCGATCGGTACTAGCTGGTAGTCTTTGATGCCACGGTAACTTTGGAAAGCGGCAAAATCGAAGGCAAACAGTTTATCACTTTTTGATAGATTTGGCTAATTACGCTACCATTTTGTCTCTGCATGGTAAGAGCCTCAGGAAAAGTGGTTTGTAGCTTTTATAATAATAAAATGCTGTCTTGGACCACAACAAAAGTTTCTAGGGGACTGGAGAGATGGCTTAAAGGTTAAGAGCACTAGCTGTTCGTCCAGAGGTCCTGAGTTCAATTTCCAGCAACCACATGGTGGCTCACAACCATCTGTAATGAGATCTGGTGCCCTCTTCTGGCCTGCACATGCAAACAGAACACTACATAATAATAAAAAAAAAGTTTCTAGATAATGAAGTAAATAGTTTGGGTTGGTGCCCCAGCACGTTCTTTCCCACTTACGAAAAGCAAAACAAAACAAAAACAACGGCGCTACAGCTTCATAAATAGGGACCTTGGCCCGGAATTTTTCTCACATCAAGGTGCCTAAACTTCTAAAATCTCTAGAATCTTCCCCTTTCGGTTCCATATCCCCCCCCCCCCCCCGCATTTATATGTGTGTTTATGTGAGTGGATTCTATGTTTGGGCATGCTTGAGAAGTCTGGAAGGTCACCTGGAACTGGAGTTAAAGGCCAAAATTTTTAATAGATACGGCTTTTGTGCCTTCTAAAAGGCCCTTTGTACTCAAAAACTTGCAGTGTGTATCTGTAGATGTATCCAACCTTCTTATTAAATAAGAAACACAGAACCAATGCAAAAAAGAAAGCCAAGAGGTCAGAGCTAAGAGCTAAAACCTTACCCTTCCTCCTGCTGTGGTCCTACCTCTCCAACCAGAGCTACTTTCTGTGTTAAAGTCTTTATACGGAGTTCCTGTCCTGCCTTCTCATTGGTTGTAAACCCAACCACATGACCGCCTCCTCACGGCTTGTCTGTATAGACCTCCAGGTTTTCCATGATTGGTATTGAGATTAAAGGCATGTGTATCCAATACTGCCTGTACCCCTGAATACTCAGAGACTTACCCAGCTCTGCCTACCAAGTGCTGGGATTACAAGCGTACGCCACCACTGCCCTGCTTTCCTATGGCTTGCTAATAGCTCTGACCCCCCGGGCAACTTTATTTATTAACATACAAATGACATTTTAATACAAATAAAATATCACTATATGTATCCTTATTGGACAGCACAGTGCTAGAATGTTTTTTTTAAGACTTAAATTTAAATTGTTTTTTTTTTAAGACGTAAATTTAAATTCCATGAAACCAATTTCAGACTTCATTTGTTTCTGTTTGAATTCACCCATTTATGGGGTTGGAGTGTGTGTGTGTGTGTGTGTGTGTGTGTGTGTGTGTGTGTGTGTGTGTGTGTGTGTGTGTTGGTTTTGCAACATGGTCTCTGTATAGCCTTGGCTGGCCTGGAATTCACAGGACTTGCTGAGATTAAAGGCACATACCACCTTGCCCACCTGGCCTATTAATTTTCAACAGTCATTTTGATAATTGAAGCATATGCTTCCTACATATTTTTTTTTTAATTTTTTTTGTTTTTGTAGTTCATTTCTTAATTTTTGAGGTTTGATTATAGCCGTTCTCCTCTCCCTTTCCTCCTTCACTCCCACAGACACCCTCCCACTGTCCTTAAATTCATGGCCTCTTTTTATTAACTGTTATTGTGTGCATATGTTTATCTACATACATATGTATTAAATATATCCCACTCAGCCCTTATAATGTTATTTGTATGTCTGTTTTCAAGGCTGAACATTGGCACTGGGCAACCAGTTTTTGTTGGGGAAGACCACCTCTCCTGATTCCAGCTTTCCTCAGTTGCCGGCAGCTCTTTGTGTAGGGTTGAAGCCCCATGAGCTTTTTCCATTCATTTTATGGTGTCCATTGTTACCCCTCCTTGTTCAGCTTACATTTGGACAGTCATGCTGGTGAGACATTATGGGTGTGGCTTCTGATGTTGCCGGGAGACATGATCTCAGCAAACTCCCTGTTCCTCTGGCTCTTACAGTCTCTCTGCCCCTTCTTCCACAGTGTTCTCCAAGCCTTCGATGCAGAAGTGTTTTCACAGATGTATTTATTGGAACTGGGCTCCACACCTATATTTTTTATGCCTATTCTTTAAAATCACTACAGGCTACATGATGAGTATATAGATTTGGGTAAATTTTAGAACAATTGGTAGAAACTTTTAGTTTGCTCACTTAATTTCGTTTTAGTCTTTTTATTTTGTGATTTGGCCCAGGCTGGCCTGGGACTCATGTGGCAGAGTCTGGACTTGCATTTTGCTTCCCCCTCCCAAATACTAGGACTAGAGGTGCCTGGCTTCATTTTAGCCTATTAAAACTTTTAGTTTTAAAAAGATGTTTTATTTTGCGTTTTTCTTTAATGTGTTTTGCCCTCATGTATGTATGCATACCACATGTAACGTGTGCCCCTGGTGCTGGCAAGGGTCAGAAGGCATTTGAGTCCCTTTAACTGGAGTTTAGAATGGTTGTGAGTAAGCCACCATGTGGGTACTAGGAACTGAACCTGGCTTCTCTGCAAGACAGCAAGTGCTCTTAATTGCTGAGCCATCTTCTACAGACCCTGTTTTACTTCTGGTGTGGATGTGTGCCTGTGAGTACTGGTGCTCATGGGTCCTGCCTTGGAGCTGGATGGAGTACAGGTGAACGTGAGCCACCTAGTGTGGCTGCTGGGAACTGAATTTGGGTCTTAAGCAAGAGCAGCTGCACTCTTGACTGCAGAAACACCTTTCTAGCCCCTTTCATTTCTTTAAATACAAGTCTAGACTAAAACCCTTTGTTTTCCATTACTAAATCTGTTCTTTTAATATATTGAGTCTGTCTACTGCTCTTCCCTTAGTACTTAACCACCCCCTGGTCCTCAGGTTAAGTCTAAACACAACATGGCTGATGAGAAAAATTAAAGAAGTTGGAGTTCTAGAAAGGAAATAGAGAAATAAATTTAGAGCTTAAAACTAGAGCTATAGCCTACAGGGCTTTTTAAATTTTGTTCATCATTCTAGACATTAGATTACTACACCACAGTGGAAACTGTTAATCAAATTATTTGTCATTAGACAATTTACCAATTGTCTACCTACAATCAAATTTAGCTCGATGAAAAAAAAAGAAAAATTACATGTGTTTCGTGCTAATTAGGATTGTGATCCCAGATACTGAAAGGCAAATAGATTTGAATGGTGTATTGAGTTTTTACAAGATGACCTCTTTACAGTTTTAAACCACAAGAAAGGTTGAAAACAGATCACTTACAGGGATATATATATATAGTTGATGCTACCAAACTTTAAGTTTTCTCATAAGAAAATTATCTCTGGGGAGTTTGGAGGAAAGAGTCAGTATACGGTGTGAGTAACAGGTTGTAAAACCAATGTTTCAGGAACCTAGTTTGATCCAGGCCAAAGGTCAGCTCACGTGGTTGTAGCCCGGTCTCCCTGCAGTCCGTGTCAAGAACCCGGAGCCAATGCTAGGCCATTGGTTTCCTTCTTGGACACTTGTTTTCCTGTGGCAGCTGGTGGTGTGACGTAATCAACTCCTGTTTAGTTTTTACAGGCAGGGTCTCACTGTGTAACTGGCTGTCCTGGAGCTGCCCTGTGGAGCAGGCTGACCTCCCCGGCTACTCTTCTTCTGCATCCCCGGCTGCTCTGTCCACTTGGCTGCTCTGACTGCTACCGATCTACACATAACTAGAGCACCAAGTGCTCAGCCAGACTGGCCTGCGCCACACTGGCATTACTTGGCCTTGCCACTTTTAATTACCTC